TGGGCTTGTATTCTTATTTCCACAATTATTTGGTAATCCACACCTGTTTTTTTCTTCCTTTATCCTTTTCCATTTTCTCTGTGTCAGTCCACCTCATATACAGTCCAACTCCCTGCATGCTTGAAGTATACCCTACAGGTGAAATTAGCTCTCATCCTGCCCCCAGTACCTAAAGCCTAATAAGTTTTTTATTAGGTAGTATGTAAATATTTGCAGTAACATATGGGTGTTCTCATATATGATTACAGACAACCTTTTTTGTTTTGTAGTTGTGTGCTTTGCTGTTATCATACTGCATTTGGCTTCAAACACTCACAAAAACTTGTGAGCTCAATTTATTAACTTAACATTGCAAGTGCCATGTTAATTCATACTTAAGAAGTTTTACAACTTTTTAATATAATCATATGTTTAACTGTGTGTTCTTTTGTTTTGTGTTATACAGTATTTTGGTTTTATATGTAAGTATATAATTTACTTTTAATAGGAATTGAGTTGTATTATTTTATTTGGTCTGTCTATTTATGTTACTCTATTTGCTATATCCAGTTTGCCTGCAAAGTAAGAGGGGCTGCCATTATCCCTAAGCTGGCTCAGGTTTGCATTAAGGCCATGATCATAATATTATGGTATTCTGTATATATGCACAAGTGCCTTGATTTGCATTATCTGTTATTATAACAATACAAAGATATATAAAGGGACAAGAGGGATTTACTTGACACATTAGATTTTGTAGTTTTAATTTTTTTTCCATATAGGCAAATAATCTATTGCCTTCTGTTTGTTGCTTTGATCTGGCTTTGTACTGTTTCACATGTATTATTCCTCTGTGAACATGGGTGGTACTGATCCTTTTTCAATTAGTTTTTCTCTCCATGCTATACTTAATACTGGATCTACCAGTTAAAAGAGCAGCTGCAGTAATTTTGTTCTCAGTAACTTTACTATCTCAAATTTGCATGCCCTCCTGAATGAACTTTAATATCAAGAAAGTTATTTGGAAATCAGGACAATGTATTTAACTTTCTTGCTGGACATAACTTTTCCTAATCTGTAAGGCTTGTGGTGTTGAACCCAATTTTTCCATATTCTGTTTTAAAATATGTGTTGTTCCATACTGGTGTGTGATAAAATGACCCAAGCTAGGGGTATTAAGGTATGGACCAGCATTAACTTGTAAATAGGGCTCTTCACAAGAAACTTTATGAAAACTTGACAAAAGACCATGAAAGTACCTGGCATGTGGACTTTTCCCACGGATATTGCCATAATCTTGTTCAAAATGTCCCATGTAACAAAAAGGATTGATTTTTGAAATTGGCATATTTCCGTCCTTATTGGTGATTTATGTTGTGGGAGGGGATGGGCAACATTATTTTTCTGATGTAATTTTTGCCACTTACTCATAGGCAAATGCTGTTCTTCCTCCTTGCAGAGGTTCTCATTAAGGAAATGTATTTCATGGTTCAGGGAATTATAAGCCTTTTTCTTGAAGATTTTTATATACCATATCCTTCCATAAAGCTTAAGTTCCTGTTGTAAGGAGGAGAGAATAATGTCCTCCCTGAGTGAAGAGGGAAAGAGAAAGTCATTATTGTGATCTGTTACTTATTAGAAACTGTTCAGGTTGTGTCATGTGATAAGGTATTTAGTTGGTTATACATTTTTTTAATGTGCTAAGACATGTTATAAACTATGATATATACTTCATGGGAAGTGTGCCCTTCTATGCTAAACTCTATTTATAATTGTGTTAGGCTGTATTGAAGGCCACGGTTAAGCATAGTCAATCAACTAATCAAGATTTTAATTGCCTTGAAGGTCTAATGAAGAAGCTAAACTAGCAACTGTTTTTATATGGAATACTTTGGACATGAAACATAAGTGATGATAAGTAATATGTTTTATTATGAAAATGTTAAAATAAATTGCTTGTTAATATGCAGAATTAAAATATTAGTAATTTCAAGGACTGTCAATCATCCCAGCCCTTATTGATATAGTATACCTGAAGGCTACCAAAAAAATCCTCTGGAGCCAATAATTTCTCTATGAATTGCTCTTCTAAACTTCTGATAAATGAAATAGGCAAAAATGTAATTTGGAGTATTACTATTTTTCCCTCTGTAAACATAGCTTTTAAACCAGTCATTGCTATATACTTTATATATATATATATATATATATATATATATATATATATATATATATATATATATATATATATATATATATATATATATATATATATATATATCTTCACCTATTAAGGCGTATGACAAAAAGGAAAAATGCAGGAGGAGATGGCATGACATTTGACACAAACCACATGTTTTCTCACTGCACAAAGAAGTCGGATAATTTTCTGGAATAGTGTCGCATTACCAATCGCGACGATTTTGGCATCGATGGATTCCTCTCATCCTCTAGTGCATATATGTAAGAATAATGCTGCGGATCCCCCTCCCCCACCCCACCCCAACCCCCACATTCTTGA